TAGTTATCTATGTTCCCTCCATGGTCTTTTGGGGTCTTTGTTCTAGAGCTTCACGAGGTGGAGAGATCTAAGGAGCATCCTCCAGAGTGAGCTAGTGAGGCCAGGGCACACTCACATTATCTCCCCTCCACTTCTCTCATGAAGAGGTGGAAGTCTCAGAGTTAATAGTATAAATTTCATTCTAAACTCTACACATGAACCATTTTAACTAATATCTAAGCCCACGCACACACAAAAAAACAACTTTCAGCATTCTGGCACAGGCCCTGGGAAAAGTTGAAACACTAGAGAAAAAACCTGTCAAAGATTACTGTAAGGGCTTTGAAAAATCAGCCTCAACATAGTCCCTAGAATACTAATTCTCAAATTCTGGTGTGCCTAGGATTGATTGGGGAGCTACTTGATGAAGCAGATTCCTGAGCCTCTCCCTGAGAGATCCTGGGGTGAACCTAGGAACTCGTATTTTAACAAATGGCTTCTGATGTAGATGGTCCACCAACCACACTGTCTAGAAAACCCAAACAGTTCCACAGAGCCCCTAATCCATTCTTCTTACCAATTTCTACAAAGAGAGAGAAAAATCTTAGATCAATATTTACCCGGAAGAAGAGGACCACTCACTCAAGCCTAGATCATTTAATACTCAGAAGGACCATTACAGAGGCAGTTTTGGCTGAGGAAGCATTGAGTAATTGCAGATAAAGACCATGGTCAGCTGCAGTGGTGAGGCGAAGTGACTAGGCCAGTGGTATGCTTGTTCCCATCTCAGAATGCCATCTGAGTGTCTTCCCTACAACTACCTTTTCTCTGACTTGAACCTCGCTCTCTGGCAGGCTGCTGTCTTTTCTTTGCCTATTAGTATAATTCTGATTCATATTTTGAACTGTACTTTAGACTTTCTGAAGCTTTTGTGAGTTCCTGACCCTAGCTAAACTTGTGTCTAACTCTATTTAAATAACCAACTTGCTTGTCCACAATCCCTGCCTACCTCACTACATGTCTTTTTTAACCTCCACAGGTACCATATTTGACCTTCATTCCACCTCCAGTCTCAGCCACCCAAATATCACTGTCACCTAAACATACTGATGACTAATACCCTCAGATGTTTAGTCACGGAAATATATTAAATATAGAGCTCAAACTGTGAGAGCATATTTCAGTGTCATCATAACCCAAATGGATAATTTTCCAATAGCAGATACAAAAAAATGGGTTCAACAACTATTTTTTTCACTGAAATATTTTGGCATCTATTTATTATCAATTTGGTGATAAAAATTGAAATATAATTTGAGAGGTATTGGGGATAAAGTCACCTCCACAACCAACCCAATGCTACCGTAAGTCCTATTAAGTCAATTCACAAAACATATCTCAAATGTACTGATTTCTCTCCATCTCCATCTACCACCCTGGGGTTATTTCAGAATTAGGAACAGGATGGTGGAGTAGGGTAACTTTAATTTTTTTATTTTGTACCATTTTTTAGTTTAAATTTATTATTATGAACATAAATTTCTTATTTACTTTCTCACTAATGTTTTAAGGACTTTTTAATGTTTTAAGGACTGGTCAACAGTATAACATTAAATTACCAGAGAGGATAAGAAAGATGAGACTCAAACGAGGCCATTTTAGGGGCAAGAAAGTTGTCGTTTGTGACCTTCATCAGAATGGTTTCAGGCGGCAACGTGAAAGCTGACTGCCATAGTCTAAAACAGTGGTATCCAACCTTTTTGGCACCAGGGACCAGTGCTTCTATGAGTATCTAATGCCTGATGATCTGAGGTGAAGCTGAGGTGGTGATGCTAGCGCTGGGGAGTGGCTGCAAATACAGATGGGGCTTCGCTCGCTTGTCACCTCCTTCTGTGTAGCCAGATTCCTAACAGGCCACAGACTGGTACTGGTCCACAGCCTGGGGGTTGGGGACCCCTGGCCTACAACACTGCTTCTCAAGCCTTAACCTGCATATAGGAATTACTAGGAGATCAGGTTCAAATGCAGATCCTGATTCAGTAGGTCTGGGTGGAGCCTGAGATTTCTAACAGGCTCCCACATGATACACACACGGCTGATCCAAACACCATACTTTGAATTGCAAGGTAATCAGCATGAAGAGAATGAAAGGAAGTGGGAAGAGATCACTATTTCCCAAAAAGTGTTCCCCAGAAGATGAACCCTGAGGCATGCTCTAATAAAAAGATTCCACAAAGAAGGTTTGGTAAATACGCCCATCCTGACAGTAATATATTGGGTATTAGTGTTTTACTGAGGCTTTTTTTGTTGGATTGTCACTCAGATGTTCATAACAGTGAGGGCCAAATTTTCAGCAATGACAATTTATCCCTGCTGTCAGAGTCTGATGTTCATAACAGGCCATCTGGAAGGTATGGGGGAAAAGAATTACTGGGTAGCAGGGGCTCAGGGGTGCACAGAGGAGGGAAAATGGAATATGAAGAACAGCATTTTGTCTCCAGTACAACAGCAGCAGAGGTCTCTGAAAAGTGAGAACGTTCCCCAAATAAACCTTGTTAGGGCATGTGCACCAGTAAAGCCTGACACTACTTGACAGTACCTGCTATAATGCCATCAGATATCTGTCGAGCTTTATTCTAAAGATTTCTGGACCTTTCTGAAACTTAGCCCAGCATCAGCAGTATGGCTCTGGAGCCAGTGGGATAAGCATACTTGTGAAAACCTGAACTTGAATGCATTTATACTGCTAGTGGCTTCATTGGGCAAGAGCAGGAAACCACAGAAGCTGACTTGACCTCGCTACTGAAGAGTCCAGCTTGACAGGAGCATAATGCTACTGTCCACTGACAAGTGATTAAGAACTGCCTGGGGGAGGCTGGGCAGCACTGATCCTCTCACCCGCTGAGATGGAGCAGGTGAGACCAGAAGGAACCTCAGAGGTCAGATAACATGCTGGCGGCAGTGCTGAGTCATCCGCCCAGTACCCCCAGTGTTTGGCTGCCCCAGAATGGCTGTTAGATGCTTTCCATAGGTAATGCGGCTGAGCAGTAAGTTTCAGTGGGAAACTGGATTTCAAAGGATCCCTCAGAGGAGAACAGAGGTTATTCATCCTGGCATGCCTTAATCGTTTGAAAAGACTGCCACTCTCTCCTCTCTGACATCTAAACTTGGCAGCAGAGGGTCCAAGCCATATGGAGCAACTTGTGCGGAGACTAGAATGACACCAGAATTGGTCATAAAAGATGCTCTGAAGCCTTTGCATTCACAGCTGCAGTTTTCTATCACCTTAGCTCTCCATCGGACGTCTGGTCACTCAGTCAATCCCAGCTGTTGTATTCATCTCTCAAATTTACTAGGGAGGAAAACGAGTCAATTCCATTTTCTCTTTATTAGCCTTCAATTTTTTTTACTTTTGTGAATATATCTGAAAAGCTCTGTGCACGTGGTGACTATTCCAAGGACACTAGTTAGGGAATAAAATGGAAACACGTGCCTCAGGATGGCAGCGGGCCACAGGCTGTTTGTGCTAATGCTGTTTTGTGAGACTCACTGCAAGGTGCAGGGTCCTTTCTCAAAAAAGAGTGATGGCAAAAGAATCCAAATTAGTTTTAATAATCATCCAACAAATACACATTTCCTCTGTTAAATCTGTCATCAAATATCCTCCCTATTGGATATACTAAATACACTTTAAACTCACAGGGAAGTTATTTGGGAAATCAGGAATCAATTATACCAGCCCCCACATAATGCCATGTGTCTAAGCTACTAGCAACCATGCAGCAGAGTTATCTTTTTATTACATTCCTCTAGGTTCCCCCATTCTAACGTGTTAATTTTAAAGAATTTAAGAGCTAGCTTCTCATCTATAATGAGAAAGATGTTACCCTCTATTTTTATATAAAACACTTTAATTGCTACTAACATCATTAAAGTTAGCACATACACAGGAAGGAGAGTGTACTCTCAAAATCATTTATCCCCAAAAGGCAAAATACTTTTAAAGAAACAAAAAGCAGAGGAGATGGGTGGGAGGGAAGCTTGAAAAAAGTTGTGATCAGGGTTTGTTTTTAAATTCTACCTGGGTGTTCTCCACCCTGGAGCTGGGGAGAGGTTCTCAACCTTTACTCAATGTAGCCCATTAACCAGACTGCACAGGGCCTAATTTATTCACCTGACTCTTTAATTCCTCTCCTGGATTCCATAATACAATCCAACGTGGTAGATAATTTTGAAAGAAGAATGCCTCTATACATACAACGTCTAGAAGATAAAATAATGACTTCCATTTTTCTTGCATTTGAAGACTTCAGATTTCTCACAGAAAATAAAATGGCCACATTAAAATCGTTCTAAGTTATAAGTAATTAATTTGTCACCTTAGGTCTTGCTTAGGGACAGGAGAGACTCTGGAAACCACTAGTCCCTGTCTTTCTGACTAGCTGGGACACAAAAACTTTGTCAAGGTCTAAATTCCTCATTCCTTGGGTAAGAGAAATTATGGCAGCAGAGATCCATCCACTCGGCCCCTATTAAGCAAGTTTGGCTGGCAGAATGGATGTGCCTAATGGTAGGTTCCAGTACCTGGAGAGACTGTAGCTACTCCACATCACAGATGGGGTGGAAAATTGGAAATAAGCTTGGAATATAACAACAACAACAACAACAATGAAACCCATCCCTTGCCTAGAGAGGAAACCCAGCCCTGGAATGAAAGGAAGGACACATTTGCCCCATTCAGGAGATTGTGGAAGATTCACAGCACCATTCATTATTGGAGATACTCAGGTCCAGCCAGTCCTAAGCCATTGCTTTGAGCACATGGTTCTGCCACCAAAGTCTCTGCTGCAAATCTGAATTGTCTCCTCTCCTCCCATCCCCCTAGACTTGTTCTCTGGTGACCATCTAGGACATGACTACAGGGCTGAGCCTGAACCGCCCTTGTGCTGAACACATCCGAACATCCTGGGAAAGAACGCTAAGCAGACAATCTGCTTCTGTCAGGAAAGCTGTCACCTTACCTTTTTGCTTATTGAGAAACGGCAGAGGGGGCGCGACGCCAGGACTTTGTGGTCCAGGGACCTTTGTGGCCGTGGAGCTTTCGCTGGAACTCTCTGCAGGTTTCTGAAGCCCTGCGGGCTCCTCGGGTGCCGTGGCTCCATCTCCAGAGGGCAGCTCAGGACCAGTTTGCGGGGGAGGCGAGGGGAACTTGAGGAAGGGGCCCTGCTCGGCCAGGCCCCGCCTGCTAGGTGCGCGCTCCTCAGCCCTGGCGCCAGGCTCCTCCCGGATGGCGTCCAGGGCGCCTGGCTTCATCGAGGGTGAGTCCTGCTCCCGCTTGGGGCTCTCCTCCGAGGCCGAGGACGCATCGCACGATTCGATGATGAGCTCGCTGTCCAGCTCAGCCTCGCGCTCCTCCCTCAGGATGCTGTACTGGATGGACGGTGAGGCTGGCGAGGGCGGTGGGCCGCCCACGTGGCCGAAGGTCACATAGCCAGAGGTAAGCGCATCCTCAGTAGCCAGCGGGTCCTCGGACACGAGCTCAATCTCCGAGTCCCCTGACTCCGCGCTGCTGGCCTCGTGGTCCAGGGGACTGGGGATGGTCGGCAGCCCGGACCTGGCCTTCACCTCGGGCCTGTCGGCCACCTGGCCTGCTGGCCGTGGGCTCTCGGCTGTTTCATATGATAATCCCTTTGCTTCTTTAATGGCAGTGATCAGCTCATCCTCCGAGATGCTGCATTTCCCCTGGGATTCTGCAGCAGATGGTTCTGTCGTTCCACAGAGCAAAGAAGAGTTGGAGAGGCACACACACCCGGACAGGCAGATGGGCAGAAAGAAGAAATAAAACAAAGTTCCATTAGGGGAGATGTTTTCTCCTTGCTTGAGAAACAGATATCTCATTAGCACAAAAATAGTCTATTTCCAGGGCTATGCTGGGAAGACAGGCCACCTGAAATAAAAGGCTAATTACTGTTATGGCCCAATTAATCAGTGTTTTACTTACCTATCTATCTTACTCTAGCTATTTAAAAAAATGACCCAGCAATTTCTTAGCAACAGCATCACCTCAGTTGGTTTTCCTGTTTCAACATGAAAAAGATTCTAGAAGTCATTGTTTTAATTCATGATTTACTTTCCCAGGAGAGTTTTCTAATTTCGCAGATTTCATCAGATAACCTGATGGATATAACTCTCTAATGTAGCCCACCAATATCAACAAATCATCCATTATCCATATGCATTGCTGTGTGTGTTCCTTCCTTTAATAAGACAAAAAAGGAAAGCTACTTTGGATCCTTATATACTCACTTTCTGAGCTTTACATTTCCCATAAGAAACAATAATTGTACTCTTTTTTTAGTGAAAACTGTAACTAAGTGGAGCCATATAAGAGTTTTTGTTCACTCTACCAAGCCTGCTGTGCAGATGACCATGGGGCACAGTCCCACAGAGCTTCTAATGTGCAGCCCGCAGCTATTCTTTTCCCTCTCTGCACCTCCTCCTGAGCAGAACTAAACCGGAGAGTGCCCCCCTCCCCCACCCCACCGCCCCCTGGGTGCATGCCTTCCTTCTGCCTCATGTTTATCCAGATGGTCCAAAAACCTTACTGGCAATCTTACTATTATTTCTGCCTCTTAGATGAGACTACCTGGGATTACCATGACAACAGTTTTCAGGAGCTTGGTTTTCCCTTGCCTTATTTCAGAATATCCTAGACAGTGATCTCTGGCCCTTTTGTTAGGGAGAACTACTCCGGAATGGTTGTTAAGGGGTACAGCGTTTCTCTAGGGGATAATGAAAGTGCTCTAAAATTTACTGTGGTGATCGATAGATACACAATTCTGTGAATATAGTAAGAGCTATTAAAATGTACACTTTCAATGGGTGAATTGTATGGTATGTGGATTATATCTCAATAAAGTTGTCTGAAAAAGAAAACAGAGAGAGGGAAGGAGGCTTTTTCCCTGAATGAGCACTTGAAGGAGAACTGCCCTTCCTGTATGAGACTGTAGTATGAGCGAGAAGTAACTTTAATTATATTAAGCCACTGAGAACTGGAGATTTGTCTGAATCTGAATGAATGTGCCCTTTCAGTCTGGATTCTGCTCTGCTTGCCTAAGTTCACTGATAACTCCCAGATCACTTTTGAGTTCTGACTCATTAACAGGATACTGCAATTGTTGAGGGGAAGAGTTATGACGACCTAATGAATCGTGGTGGTCATAGGGATGAAAAAGAGAGGATATTCGAGAGCCATTGAAGAGAAAAAAACCGTAGGTTTGGGGTCTGATTCATGTGGTGAGTGAGGGAAAAAATAGGGTGTTGGAGGTCACTCAGAAATGGGTAGCTTGCGTGAATAAAACAAACACGTATTCCATATCCAGAAACATGGAAGTCAGAACAGTGAGCTGTTTTGATGGTACAGGCGAAGGAAAGTCTTATCTTGGAGATCTCCCTTTCTGTGGCTCACCCTCTTTCAGTTTCTCATGCCAGAAGCCTCTGTCTGATTATTTAAACTGCTAGGACTGACCAAACTCCTGCTTCTTCAACATTCCTAGGAGACTACAGAGCAGGCAGGCAGGCAGGCAGGACCGTGGGCTCAGAGAGCTACAAGTGGCCTTGCAGGGCAGCCCAACCTGTGAGCAAGCCAGCCTGGTGATACCAGGAGACCGCCTGCTGCTCACGCATTCTGCACAACTAGGAGCCCCTGGGTGGTTTGCATTCGTTTGCGATGATCTTATTAAAGTCTGTCTCTTCACCCTCCCCCAGTCTCCTTGGCCGCAGACAGAAAGCACCAAGAGGGCAAAGGGCAGCCAAGGTATTTTTGTTCACTATCATATTCCCAGGACCTAGTGCAGTGCCTGGTACACAGAAAGCACTAGATAAATACAGATCATATGAGGACTAGCTCAACTCCTTATTTACTTAGGAGTAAGGATGCTACCAGACAGCTGTAGGGTGTGGGAAGAAGGGGTTTGATGGGTTTCATCTCGGGCAAGTGAGGTGCTACCTTAAAAAGAATCCATCCTTATTATGAGTTAAAACAGACTCAGTAGAGATTATAGACACTGCCCTTCATTCTTAATGGAAACTAAAAGTTTAACAAAGTGCTAGGAGGAATCAGGAAATAATTTAGAACGAAACAGAAGTTTTCCTACTCTTATTTAAAACCTTATGGGCCTCTAGCTAAGACACTAGTTATTATGTGTCAAAACTGACACAGCAAAGCTAGAAACAGTCAACAAAGATAATCAAATAGAATCTAGTAACTGAGGAGGTTAGACTGCCCTACCTGGAAAGATATGTCTGCTGCTGATGTTAATTATGAAGATATAATTAAGAAGGATAAAAGGAAAGGTGAACATGGGCCAGTTTATCAAGTTACAGTTGCCAATGTCCAACTGTGAATGACGTTGTTATTCAGGCCTGCCCTTTGCACCTGGCTCATTCTCCACTCATTACTCAGAGGGATCATCTGAAAACACAAATCCCAACCTGCTAGTCTTTCCTTCCTTCTCCCCACTCCTGCTGCGTTGACCTTCCAGCTGCAATTTGAATACACAGCGCATTCCCAACTCCAGGCCTCTGCGTTAGCTGTCCTTCCTCAGCCATCTACATGGGTTACTCTCTCACCCCATTCAGGTCTCTGCTCAAGCCATCAGCAGAGAGAAGCCTTTACTCACCACCTCTCCATCACTCTCTTACACTCTATCTTGCCTTATTTTTCATCACAACCATTATAACTTCCTGATTTATATATATACATATATAATAATTATTATAAATATAAATATATATGTAAATATACATATATATGTGTATATACATAGTTTGTGTGTAAGTCTTCCTACTAGAATGAAAGCTCCATGCAGGCAGTGATCTTGTGTTTCACCACTGCATACTCAGTGGTAATGATGAACAAAAACATAAATGACCCCTGCTGTCATGGAGCACAAAATCTAGTTAGACCTCTCGATCACTGTCCTTTCTGAGGGTAGTACCTCCGGGAACACCCATGGTGGCTATCATATGCTCTGGGTGTTTTTGTCAAAGACAATGTGGTGTTGATGGCCATAGTCCGGTGCATCAGGGCAGTTACTAAGTTTAACTAAAATGCTCCAGTTACACTCACGACTGATCTTTGCTGAGAAGAATCTTTCAATGTTTAAGATGTAAAAATGCCTCTGGACCTCAGGGTATATTATTAAATGAGACGAAAATAGTTATGTGTGTTGGAGAAAGTTACAAAATGAAATTATTGAAATTAAAGAGAATATATTAGACTCTTTGCTTAAGTTTCAGGGTCTGTGGCTAAAACTGTTCTAAATTAGAATTTCTCCTGATTCATAATTCACATAATTAGAATTATTTTGCAGAATTGATTATTTCCTCACTTATGAAACAATGATAAACAAAGCTCCTTTTGCTTAGAATGCTTTCCTTTCCTTCAGTTTCTGTGTAGGATTATTTGCAATTCTTGGTGTTTGTCTTATCTGTTGGCACTGGAAATAGCAGAATGACCCAAGACCCAACAGATGTAACAAAGCCCAAATCTTCCAGAATCTATGAGCAGAGTGTCACATGATGCCAGAGACTCACAAGTTGGGAAGGAGGTTAGGTCAACCTCTGGAGATGAAAAGAATAAGGAGAAAGGCCTCAATGACAAGCTGACTCCTCCTATTTCTCTGTTAATTTTATTCTTACCTGTTGTTATATGACTCAGATGTTATGATATGGAGGGTGGGGAGAGGAGCTGGACATGAGAGAGAGCTGTGTAATGGGACAGGGGACTTTTTCTTGAACGAAACTTGCTTAGAATGTTTATTTGGAACAACTCTCAAGCAGGCAACTCAAGATCGTAAAACTCCACGATCATGTAAGCCAGATCTGTCTTTGTCTCCTCTTGAAGCTGCTCTAGAACCCCAATGGGTCATGGCTACTAAAAGGTAGAAATTCTCTAATAATTAATGAACCCTGTACAAGTCTTTGTCATCAACTTTGTAAGCCGTACTTTTTACATGAGGCACATGCCATGTAAGAGGACCTATGGTGCATTTCACTCTTCCTAAAGACTAGCTGAAGTTCTAGAGTGACCACCGGGCAACCCTGGAGCTCTATAAAACACAGCTGATAATGTAGCTTACATCTTCAGAGTGTCAATATCTTTATCTCATGGAATACTATAAGCGTTGTGTGACGTGTTGCCAGAAAGAATACAAGGAGGCTTTGAGATTCAGATATGCCCCTGTCTCAAGTTGTAGGCTGGGACTAGCCACATCTAATTTGCTTGGGGCCTAAGTGTCCTTATTTGTCATCACTATCAAATCTCCATTTACATCTTATGCTAAATTCGCTGTGCCATCACACCTCATGTCCTTGTACCTTCTCAGACTTGGAAGGCCACCCCTCTCCTTCACCTGTTCATTTCCTCCTGCTCCTTTAAGAGCCACTGCAAGATTCAGTTCACCTGGCGAGGGAGCAGCTGGACTTCGACGCTCCTTAGCTTCTATGTTTCCCCCTCTCAGAACACCAATCACACCAGGGTGTGGTATGATCCACTGGAGGACAGGGACTAATTTTGTTTTGTTCTGTTTTGTTTTGTTTTTAATTTGGCACCATCAATGCCTAGTAAAGTGCCTGACCAAAAGAACGTGTGTAGAAAGTGTTCGTTGAGTGAATAAATGAATTTGGAAATTAGGGACTTGGTGCAGTGGATCTTTGAGACCCTTGAAGCTTTATAGTTGAATGTGTCTGAGGTAAGGCTGGGGAAGGGGAGGAAATGATCTTTAGGGAATCTTTAGGGAAACAGGACAGGAGGTACTTCCATTAAGGTCATTCTCTTCTAACACTTGGACTTACTGCAGCATCAGGGTCTAGAGCAATCCTAATCATGAGGCTTTAGATCCATTTTAAGGAATCAGTGGAGGTTCATTCACCTGAGGTGCTAAAAATCACTTTTTGTAAATCAAAAGTGATCACTTTTTGATTTACAAATTACTTTTAGGTAGGGTCAGGTTGCCACTGAAGGCAAGGGAAGATTCAAGGCCTTCCAACTGTCTTCTTCATCCTAATCCCTCATGGGCATTCAAGACAGGTAGAGATGCACACAGGATGGAGATGCACACAGGATGGAGATGCACACAGGAGGGAGATGCACACGGGATGGAGATGCACACAGGAAGGAGATGCACACAGGAAGGAGATGCACACAGGAGGGAGATGCACACAGGAGGGAGATGCACACAGGATGGGAATAGCACAGGGTTGGGTGGGAAAGCTCCTACTACCACTCTGGCCTTTCACCTGGGTAGAGGAGGCCCCATTTATGTTTGAGAGGATGTACTAAGTGTGGTTTAACATCCTGCTTTGAGTCAGAGTAGAAGAACATTCAAGTTGAATAAAATTACACCCTACTGAATTTCAGACTTTTTAAAATTCTAATTAAATAAATCTTTGGTTTAAAAATAAAATTGTATGCAGATCTTCAATAAACTAAAAAGATAAAAAGGTGGTACTTAGATTTCAAAGAAGGGTTGAAGTACCCTTTGATTAAGTTATCTTTCTCTGCCCTTGCCTCCTCCAAAGATCCTGAAGACACCCCCCACTTCATTACAGACTTGGAACTGGGGCCAGGAATGCAAATGTCCTGCCCAAGGTGACCCAGCTGGTCTCTGGAAAACAGCATGGTTCTTTCTCCATGATGCCTGCAGCGGGTCTGGGAGTAAAGCTACCCTAGAAGCAGGCGACACCTCCTTCTCTGCTCTGAATGGTAAGCCCACGTGAGAATTTTAATGTTTCCAGTGTGTCATCTTTACCTCTCCTCTCAATAGAAGAAAGAAACTTTACAAAGCAAACCTGACTTTAAAGAATATCCCAAATCTCAACCTTGTACAATGGGCACAACACTGAACAAGCTGTATGTCAATTAAATCAGTTAAGCTAAGACTTAAGGGGATCCTCTAGTATTTTGAATGCAAATCTTCATTCCTCAATATTCAGATTTCCATGTGCTGGCGTTTTCCAAGGCAGGGACACCAGTTTCCTTACCTGTTCCAGAAGATGGAGGAGTGATGGATCCTGGGCTGTCATCTTCAGGCTCTGAGACAGTGACAGTTGGGACAGTATCAGGACTTGGTTTCAGACAGATGTCTTGCTTTTCGGGGGTTTTCTCTTGGGTAGCAGTTTCAACAGAAGGCTCAATCTCAGTCAGTGTGATTTTGACAGGGGCAGTGATCAGAGGCGCCCTGTGCTGCTCTTCAGAGAGATCATCTACATAAGGTGCAAATGTCGATTCTTCAAATAAATGGTCCTTGAGGATTCTTCCCTCCACAGGAACTGGTTTCTCTGGTTCACAGACCTTTTCGGATTTTGTTGCAATTTCAGTGTCCTTATTCTTAAAATCCAAGTCTTTCTCTTCCAACTTGGGGTGACTCTGCTCCTGATATTTCACCTCCTCTGGCCTGGTTATGTCAATGTATTTGTAGGCTTCTGCTTTCATCTGGTCCAGGGGGTCTGCTAGGATCTTGCTCACTTCGATGGACTCTGCAGGAGTCATCTCTATTCCAGAATCAGAACTAAATAAGCCATGAGGCTCTGTCCCAGGCACATCTGGTAAGGAGGGCCCGGGGGTGCTCAGTTCCTCAGGGGTCTCTGACGTGGCGACGTGGCCATTTTCCTTTTGAAGAATTCCTGTGAAATATGTAGACTCCTCCTGAGGTGGGTAACAGATGTCGGAAATCAGAGACGTGTAACACGCTTTTTCCCCACCTTTGGATGCTGTTGAAAAGGGATGATCTATGGCACTGGAGACATCTACTGCCCCTAGGAAGCAAAACAGCAGCAGACGGTGAGTGGGCTCCAGGCTTCAGTTCTCCCTTCTGCCTAACCCACCACCCACACCTGCCCTGCGGAGACACGCCATCCTTCCCCGCCCCCCAGACCTCCCAGTTCCCTCACAGCCCTGGCATGTTCATGTTTCTTGTCTCCCGAATAGCCCACGGCACTGGTATTTCCCCTGCAGCAGACCACAGAGGCTCGCGTAAGCTGTCACGCTCAGAGAAGGTGGACACAGATCCCAGAGGACTAGAAAATTGATATTCGATATCTACCACCTCAATACACAGTGACTTGGCCTTATTCAGTGTTATTTAACAGATGCCCTCTTTGGATTACTCATGACTCTTTAAGCAGAGGTGGATATGTAGGGCTCATTCGGGTTTGTAAGTGCAATAGGAAAGTGGCCTGGGAGAGGGGCCGTCCTTGGAGACTCTGCAGACCCTCTAGTTCAGCCCTTTCCTCCAGGGACTCCTGCTCCACCTGGGTGGACAACATCTCTTCTCTTTTTAAAGGTCCTACTTTTCTGATGGCTCATCCCCAAGTGGTATCACCTTAATGCCGCTTGTCCCAATTCCTTCCGTTTTCTCCTCACTTTGTCTCATTCCTCATTCACTCATTTACTGCCCATCCTTTGCCTCTCAATGATATTCAGAATGACTCGCTAAGAATTTTTTAGTGCTACTGGTGGTGCTAAGAGCAAAACAAGTTTCCAAATTTGAGTCTATTCAATGTTTTCACCTGACCTTCATTCTATTCTTAAACCAGCCAAAGGTTCATTAGTAGCAAGCAGAAGAGGAAAATCTTCTATTATTTTTCTTACTGTAAATATACTATTTGCTAAGCAGTTGGATTTTACCTAATTCTCACAATTATTTTATAAATCAAACCCCACACTATCAAACACATGTACAAACACATCACACACACACACACACACACACGCGCACACACACACACAGCTCTTAAGACGCACCCAAAGCATTCTAGATTAGGGCATGAAAGTAATAAAAGTAGTAGCAGTACTATAAGAGTAATAGTTAATATTTGAGTGCTTGCTATGTGTTAAACATAGTTCCAAGCTTTTTACTAATATTGACTCATTTAATCATCAAAGCAATCCTAGGAGATTGATACTATTACTAGCCTCACTTTACAGATGAGGAAACTGAAGAACAGAGAGCCTAAGTAACTTATCTAAAATCTTACAGGCAGAAAGAGGTACTAACTCTACTAGCTTTTTGAGCCCTGTCTTTCACTCTGCAATTCACATTCTGAGCGCTGGTTAATATAAACTACCCATCATTACTTCAACACTTTATCTTTCCAATCTCCACCTTTTAACCTCAAGTCATTAAAGTTAAGCAGCTTTAAATGTCCCCTTCTTCATGATGAATTTGCTGACCATACCCGTCAGGACTTGACCCCTTCCTATTGTTCTCCCTCTTCTTCATACAGCACATCATTATACTGCTCATGTGGCATGTATGACGTACGACTTCTCTATATCCACGTTATCGCCTAGTAACTTGTCAGCTCCTGGAGTTTGAGGATCATGGCTTGCTTATGGCTAGTATATTGTACATACTAGGCGCCCAATCCAAATTAATAAACAAATGAATGGAGCAATCGATCAATCAATGGACTTTTTCTATGCAGCTACTGAGAACAAACCAGGACTGATTGATGCAAGTTACAAAGAAGGAGTTTTTAATCTATCAAGTGAAAGAACAGAATTTAAGTTATCCGACAATGAGACAGAGCGGCATCTCAGAAACGAGTGTTTTGATCCAGGTGGGCAATCAAATAGACAGGGGGCTCAGCGTCTGTCAAGGCAGGAACTAGCTTTTGGTGGAAAGTTGGATGAGCTATAGAAGTCCTTTCCAATTTTTTATAATTTTGTACTAATCAGTTGCCACTGTAGTCAGATACAACTTGCTTTACTTATTCGTTACCTATAAAACATAATCAATATCATTTTCCTCAAGGTGAGGCCACAGCATACAGGAGCTTCTCAGATGTATGGTAATAATTGAGGGAATAGAATCTAGAGAACATCTACATTATTAGAGAGTCTATAAATAGAGTCAGTCAGGAGGAAATTCTTATCCTACCATCTCTGTCATGTTCAGAGAGCCCAGCATGAAATGCAAAGGACCCCTTTACCATACTCTTCAAATATCACCAACTAGAGGAAGAGGAACAAGTGACTTGTGCAAATTACACATTTTGATAGGACCACGTCAGAACCCTCAGAAAAGCAACAAATAATCTAAATACTTTGAATGTGGCCATGTCCACTTTTCTTAAGTTGAGCTAAATACCCTGAAAGATTCTCAAGGTTCTAACTTATTGAATTTGAAAATGTACGTACATTACAGGGTGCCTGTCAGTTAGAACTCTTGAAAATAGAAAGTCCTTCTAGACAGTAAATTATGTGAGAGCAGAGTCCTGTGGGATTGCTGGACCTGGGAAGCAGAACTGAGCCTCAGGCTCAGGAAAGCCAATTAATTCTTGTCAGTGCTTCCTGCAGAGCTGCCAGATGTGGAAACCAAGAAAGAGAGGATAAGCCAGTTACCCCAGGTAGGAACCAATATTGTTATGTCGTTAAATACAAATTCACTAAATAAAAGTGCTTTCCTTGTCTAGACTAGAAATTACTACTTTCTTTATATAACCAAAGATTCTTTGGAACATCTGACTTCTTTCTCTCTGGATGTTTCCATGGCCATCTAGAAGTCTGATTCGTGTGGTGGCAGATATACAGTGGGTGCACTCACAGATGAGCTCTCAGGAGGTGACTGGACAGGAGGGCGCAGCAAATTCAGTTACCTGGATGAATTTAAAATGAGACTGATTTTCAAATTTTCATTTATGAGTAACTTTTCAGGAAAGTACTTATAATAAAAATTGAAGGATCCATAAATCACTATTTCTAGTCAAAAGCTAAGTGGAAGAAAGATGAAAATAAGCTCAAACTATTGCCATTGAATCACACGTGGTGATAAAATCAGGCTTTTGTAGCCATCAATGTCCTAGATCAGAAATACTAATCATAAGCTAGGGAAATTCAGTAATCTCATAAAGATGTTTTATTTTTTTAAATTCTCTGGTAATCCTAAGGAATGAGACGACAAAGATGACTTGCTGAAGATGGTTTTACTTTCCCCAAGAACAGTTTCAATCCTAGAATCCTAGTTCTCAACTCTGACTAATCCTCACAGAATCGAGATCATTCGATAGGTGGCCTACAGCTTAGATTTGTATTCAGGCTGTACTACTGTGAGTTGTGAGACTCTGGGCAAGAAAGCTTCTCTGAGCCTCAGTTTACTCATTTTTAAAATGGGAGCAATATAGTTCTTGTCTTATTTCGCTGTTATGAAGATTAAATGAGATGATACACGCAGTACACAATAAATGAAAGCTGTAGATTTTATTCTTACCTCTAGTTTGCAGGGACGACACTCACCATTTGCAACATATCATCTATTTATTAATTTGATACTTTATAACTAATTAAATGTAGCCAATCCACATTCATGCTGTCCTTTGGGGTCTGCCTTGGATGCTCAAGTCCCTAGTGTGCAATGTCACAGCTGTCTGCAGAGCTCCATGAGCAGGTGGTCGTTTATTAAGTACTTTCTAGTGATGCAACTGACATAGATCCTGTCACAATCATAGTAATGACTGACTCGAGTATGAAAAGTTGAATTTACCAACACAATAGACAGAAAAAAAATGACAGTGTTCAATACCCACGGATGAGCTTTCTCCCTTGTGGATGGAGTCCATTCTGACTCCTGAAGATAGAGATAAGGGGTCCATAGTTTAAGATGACACTTTCATAACTCAATAAAGCCCTACTGCTCTGAAACGGAAACCTAGCGAATGCCATAAAGAAAGAATGATATCACTTATATGTGGGATAAACCTAAAAGCAACAAATGAACAGGACAAACAGAGACTCATGAACATGGACAATAAACGAGTGGTTATCAGAGGGTAGAGGGGAAGGGGGAAGGGGGAGGAAGGAGGTAGATGGAGTAAAAGGGGTCAAATATATGGTGACAGAAAGAAATCTAACCATGGGAGGTAAACACACAATATAAATATATATATGCCTTACTGTTAAAATGTACATCTGAAACTTATTGGATTTCGTTAACCAATGTCACCATAAAAAATAAATTAATTCATTTAAAAAAAGAGAAGAAAAGAAAAAAGAAATACTGTCTGATTATACCAAAAGGTTTTCTTAGCACACAGGTTGATATGCTCCATTAGAGAAATATCTGGATTAAAAAAAAAAAAAAAGCAAAAACACCAATTATTGTTTGAATAGAGCCAATACTAACAGGTATAGGGGACGCTGGTCCCACTAATTTAAGAAATACTTTTAAAAGGGGGGACATAATAAAAAAAAATCTAGAAGGATAATGGGAGTGAAGAGAGAGATGCACATTAAAATTCAAGAATGAAAGACCAGAAACAGTGACCCAAAGTCAATCTGCATTCCCTGCTTCCAGAGTCGTCTGCCCTTGGGTTGCCCGTGTGATGGATGGCAGTAGCCTACACAGAGGTTAGGCTGTGAGACGTTTTCCCTAAAACTCCCACTCATTTTTTCTGAGTGCTAAGAAATCAGCAGGCCCACAGGGTGGAGGCTGTGACACATTTGACAATAGAGCCATCTAGGATGGATGGATATGCCAGGGAAACTCCAGGAGCCTCTATGTCACCTAGAAAACATTCTCCTTCTGAAATTAAGTGGCCTGTGATTTAACATGACAAATGGGTGTTGAGAAACCCAGGTACACTCATTCTTTAAAATTTTATCTGTGTGATTAGTCAATAGAGTTAAAAAAAAAAAATG